GCTCATGTTGAACTTCATGTGCACCAGGACCCTCAGGGCCTTGTGTGCCAAGCTGCTTTCCAGCTGGGTGGCCTCCTGCCTGTGCTGGTGCTTGGGGTTGTTCCTCCCCAGGTGCAGGACTTTGCACTTACAAGGTTCAACAGTGGGAAGGTTCCTTGTTGGCCCATTTCTCCAGCCTGTCGAGGTGGCAGCACAACCCTCTGGCATATCAACCACTCCTCCCTGGTTTGTCATCTGCAGACTTGATGAAGGTCCACACAGTCCAGATTGCGAACAAAGATACTGAACAGGATTGGACCCAGTATTGACCCATGGGCTACACTGCTAGATAATGGCCTCCAGCTAGATTCTTGGCCCTGTTCACCACCTTCTGGGCCTGGCCATCCAGCCAGTTTTCAGTCCACCTCACTATTTGCTCACCCAGTCCATACTTCATCCCCTTCTCTATGAGGATTGTGTAGGAGACAATGTCAAAAGTCAACATCCAGTGCTCTCCCCTCATCTGTGAAGCAGTCCTCTCATTGTACAAGGCTATCGGGGTGATCAGGCATGACCTCCTCTTCGCGAATCCGTGCTCACTCTTCCTGGTCGCCGCCTTGTCCTTCATGTGCCTGGAGGAAATGGTTTCCAGATTTGTTCTGCCACCTTCCCAGGGGTCGAGGTGATCATTCAAAGTTTATCAAGAGCCTTGAAATTTCATGAATAGGTAATTAACTTTGTCTTATTGTAAGCAGTGGACAGACTGAGCAAATACAACCAAAAGCAGCATCAGTGTAAGAGTGAGACTTAAATGACGCAAATCTCATTTTGATAGAATCTGGGGTGTAATTGAGTGTCTAGCAAAGAAAGATACCCTCTTTAATTTGAAAACCTCTATAGTCTCTGGGCTGTAAACTCAGTAGAAACACTGAAATGCCATTTGATAGCCGTTTGGCTAATGTATCTTCAGAGTACAATGTATGCCACTAAGGAAGTGCATATAACAGCTTCTGAGCTTATGCACGGGGTGTGCTGTACTTTGAACGTGGTTATGATAGCTTCTGCCCCCCTCTGATATAGGAGTAGGTATGTAATGCACACACGTACATGTGTGCTTATTTAAGAATATATGCATAAAGTATTACAGCTTTAAATGGGATAAGTGGTCTTTCACACACCCACCCACCCTACATATGTATATATATTTATAAATGTATTTATATCTTTCTCCAGAAGAGGAAAATATACTATATTAATCTTTCTCAGCCTTTGTGCGTTTTCTAAAGGAAGAAACACAACTCTCTCTGTTACCTTTACATCGGCTGCTGCTATGCTAGGAAGACTGTCGGGGCCCTTCTATTATCATTTATGATGCTGTGTGTACACTTCAGTCGCATGCTGGTTGTACAGCCATAATGCTGTATGCCACTTACACGTTCTTTCCAAGCATTCATCCTCAACCCACATCACAATCACCTTTGGAGTCGTAGCCAGGAATTTTCATGTCCTTTAAGTTTAGCTGAAACTTGAAAAGAAGTCTTGCTATGCTAATAAAACCTCTACAAAGTTATTTTTAATTGTGAAGAAAATGAGAACTATTTCTTGTATCCTCTTCTGACAGATACAGCACATGTCACTTGGATTCTGTGCTTATATTACTTATACAGGCAGCCTTGGGTGAACATAATGGAAGGACAGGCAGCAGTCTGAGATGACAGGAACTCAAGAAGACAGTGAAAATTAAAGGTTTGGGTTTCTGACAGGCATCTTCTGAATCTTGCTGAAGTAATGTAAGATGTTACCGCCTCTGAAAGAGATGGTAACCACTTCTTACCAACTGTTACTCTGCTCTAACTAGAGGCTACCCGTTCCCTAACAGGGTAGCAGAACACTAGTCGTAGTGTCATAGAACAGCCCAGGTTGGAAGGGACCTCAAAAGATCATCTTGCCCAACCTTTCCTGGGAAAGGGAACTTAAAAGAAACTATCTAGCGCCCTTGAAAACCTTTGGTGATGGGGACTCTGCAACATCCCTGGGGAGGTGGTCCGAGTGATTGAATACTCCTAACTGCATAGTGACTTTATAGTGTGTGCCCTCACCTTCAGTGGTGAATTAAGTGCTGTACCAGAGTGTGACTGGGGGTGGCAGGAGGCTGGGTCGGATAGCTGCAAGCAGTGGTACCTGAAATGGCTGACGTGCATGTGCTGGGAGGGCCTGTGTCAGTGCCCTCAGCACACTCCTCTTAAGGTTGCAGTTTTTTCTCATTTCAGGCAACAAAACCACAGCTCATGTGTTATCCTTATTTTTTAAAAAAACTTCCACTATTCTACTATGTTTTAATTTAACACGTAGCTTCATTGTATTTATCTTTTTGTTACCAATATAGTGTATAAAGAAACAGAGTCAACATTGAACGTCACCTTGGTTTTACGAAAGAGAGGGGTTGTTATACTGACTTCCAGATAAATAGCTTCTTTTTTTCTTAAAGATCATGGAATCATGATGGAATCATTTGGGATGGTAGGGACCTTTAAAAGTCATCTAGTCCACCCTCCCTGCAGTAAGCGGAGACATCTTCAACTAGATCAGTTTGCTCAGAGCTCCATCCAACTTGACCTTGAATGTTTCCAGGGATGGGGCATCCCCAACTTCTCTGGGCAACCTGTTCCAGTGCCTTACCACCCCAATAGAAGAAAAAAAAAATTCTTCCTTATATCTAGTCTGATATTAATGTTTCTATTATTTTTATAGCTGTTGTATAAATTACTTTAATGAAAGAATAAGATTGATCCAAAACTTATATTCACTCATTTTACTTGTACACTAAAAATTGTAGAAGGCTTTGTGTGGAATTTTGTGAATCTTTTTTTTTAACTGAGTTGCTGAAAAGTGTAGTATTGCATTACTGCGAAATAAAATGGTCTTATGCCTTTACTGGGGATTGTTTTGCAACCTGACATTCTTATGTGACATTCATTGTTCTTGCCCATGTATTATAGTGTCTGAGTTTCTTCTTATTACACACTCAGTGGCGAATTTTGCAACAGATTCTCTTTATTTAAGATTAAAATCTTGTTGTGTGTGTGTGTGCATACACATTGCATTTACCTGTATAGGCTTGTTTTAGGAATATCTTAGAATACATTTATCGAGTAAGAGCAGATTTAAATTTGTGTTTTCAAGTCAACAGGTTGTTTCGATAATTTAATCTTAGGTCATTAGTTTTCCTGAGAACTATGCCAACTATAATGTTTGGAGTACAAACATGTATGAAAATCACTGTTGATTTTTTTTTTTTTTTTTTTACTTTTAGGCACTTGCATGTTTTATAATTGCTGACATACTGATAACTTAATTTCTCCCTCTTGTGTATTTATGTATATATATGTACCTATATGTTGTGGCTAATGTTTAGTATATTTTATTTCTCATGTGTTTCTGAACTTTTTTCAGCTCTGGGATGCAATAGTACAGTTATATTAGAGCAAAACCTCTTACCGGTGGGTGCTCTAGGTGGGATAGTGACATTTTCAATAGTGTGCTTAGTTAGCGGTATTTAAACTTGCCAAAAATCACAAAGTCCTCTATTGTAAATCATTTGATATGGACAGGTTGAAAGAGTGTGCCAAAACCAGTGTGTGGGTAAATTTCATCGTATCTTGAAGTCACTTTGCACAAGCTAATTTATTACTAACTCAAGACATCAGCTTGCACAGCTTTGTTATCTATTTGATTACTTTAATAAACTATGGAAGGATAAAGTTGAAATCTTTGTGAGCTCCCAGCACTTGTTTCTGTGAATTAACGTAAGCGTTTTTTTGCTGTAAGAAAGCAGAATGTAAGCATGTATTTAAAATTGAACATATGCTGAAATGCTTTGCTATTTTAAGTCTTGGTTGTTTGCTTATTACCCCTTTTTTTTTTTTTTTTTGTGTGTCTCTGAATGCTATTTGTGTACTGAATCATCACAGGACGTTTTCTTCTCCAAATGGGTGAGGTTCAAGGGAGTAGCTGCTGTTCAACAAGGTGCAGAGAATTAAAAAAAAAAAAAAAAAGAAGGCTATCTGGGACCCCCACAAGTTGAGAACTCCTAACATTCTTGCTTCCGTGTTCTTTCTTGTCCATATGGTAGGCTGGAAAACGTGTTGAATGTATGGTAATTAAGGAAGTCAAATGGAAAAAAATATCTAAAGGTACTTGGTACTTACTTTGTGTTTGCTAAACAAAGCAGCAAAGCTGTCATTCATCATTTTAAGATTAATTGCGAGTTGGTGCGGTGATAGTTTTGTGTCTGCACATAGCTTTAAATCGCTGGCATAATTAAAACAGGGCTGAATTAGGACAACGGATTTATATTAGCACCTTATTAAAATTACTTTTAATTAATTAGACTGAACATATATTAATTCCATATTATCCATGGTTTTTTCTATCTAAAAAAAAATGCTGTCATATAGTTCATACCATAAATTTTAGTCTAATCAGTAATAACCTTTGGATTCTTTAAGAAAATCTGAGATTCTGCTTTGCTTTTGATGCCCAGAAACTTTGGAGAAGAAAACATTTGGAAAGATTACAGTTCTACAAAAAAAATTAATTTTTGTAGTGTAACAAAGCAAGTAGAAAATGAAACGTATCACAAGGCATTTGGAGATCTTTTTGTTTTAAAAAAAAATACATAAGTCTCAATGCAAACAGAGCGACAGCGGTGTACTGAGCGTCTACTCCCATGTTTTGTTTGTAGTTGTCAAACTGATGTAAACTGTTACTTGTGGTGTTTGAGAACACAGACTTGTTATAACGATACTAGAAGGAGCAGATCAACACAAAAATTGTTGTATGGGAAAGGGAATAGTTTTACCTAATTTATCTTCTCCCTTTTAAAATTTTTGCTACGTATCGACTGTATAATCCTATTTGTTGCACATAGAATATTCCAGTTGCAAGGAATAATCAGCAGCTGTTTGGAGTACTAATGTAAAAACAAATACTTACAAATCTGAATCCCTTTTTTCTTTAAGGACCACTACACCTGGAGAGACTAAACTTTTAGCTTCTGAAGTCTATGACATCCTTCAGTCTTCCAACATGTCAGACATGGACAATGTGAATGAGATGAATTATCGTAGACGGAAAGCACAGTTTTTCCTCGGCAGCACAAATAAGCGTGCCAAGACGGTGGTTTTGCATATAGATGGCCTTGATGATTCGGTAAGGAAACCTTCAGCATTTATGTAAATAAGGCCCGCTGTGCGGAGATGTGTTTTGCCCACAAAAATTATGTGTTCAGGCTACTTGTGTGGCATCATCAATTGTCAGCAATTCCTGTGAATCGTATTTTGAATCACAAGATACGTAATAAAATCTTGCATAAATTGAGCTTAGTCAGAGTATCTGAAGATGATGTTTTGGGGCAGTTTCCTTGAGGGCTTACTGGTTACTCTAAAAAAACTCTTCTGTTTCCACCTCTCCTAATTTTCTTTCCTTTTTCAAGAAAGAATGGAATAAACAAGGTAACTTCAGCGGTTTCACTTAAGAATATTTTGTGGTTTTATCAGTGTGTTAAACTAAAAAAAAAATTTCCTTTTAGTTACAAGAGACTGCAGACACTGTTGGTTTTGGTTTTTAATGATTCCTCTTAATTTAGAAATGCTGTATTTTCTTCGAGCTGGTTCTGCTACATCTTTTCATTGTCTGCGAGATCTTTTCTACTGTAGTGACCAGAATGGCATTTGAGTTAATGAGGTCTCACTGAGTCTTTATGTAATGTCAGAATAACTTCCACGGATTTATCTACCATACCCCTGTAGATAACACCCCAGGGCCATGTTTGCCTTTTTACGGCTGCCAAACAGCATGTAGACTGTTTAAGCATGTTACCCACAAGTGCCCTCCGGACTCTGTATCTTCAGTTTTGTACCCATTTTAAATGATCGAACCTGATCCTTTGTTTTGTTGCTTTACGTTTTGCCAAGTAAGCGTGTCCACAGGCCCAGTTTATCAACACCATACCCATCGTGCTGTTTTCATAAGGCCATAGTTAATTCCTTTAGAAATAACATGCTGCTGTAGCTCACTTTATGGAAAGTGAGTATTTTTTACAGTCTTGTCTTTCCAGCACTTGCTCTGTCAAGAAAAGCAGTGGTTGTTTGACAGTTGTTCTTAATTCAGTCGAGTCAGTCGATTGTTCCCTCTCAAGTTGGTTTTAGTTTTAAGCTCGTAGTTGATGTGTTTGTTCACAGGTATCTCCAAGCAAGAAATTTAATCCACTTCCATTTAGTAAGTTGAGATATTCTGGCTATAGTCTGGTTCTGTCTTAAAAAGTGTTTGTGCTCTTCGACAAATGGCACTTAGCGAGATTTGTGGAGTTTCTCTCTTAAATGCTGAGGCAAAGGGATTCTGAAAAAGTGTAGGGTATTTAGATATTCAGCACCAGAGAGCGAAACTGCAGGCTTCTGGAGTTGCCTAGAGCATGCCAGCATGTTTTTGTAGCTCGTTGCTGAAGACAAATCTGTGTGGTAGCTGGCGATGGCTAGTGTACGTCGTAGCTCTGTATCCCACCTGATGACTGAAAAAGCGTGATCCTCCAGGTGCCCACGCGGCAGTTAAACATCCCCACAATGCTGTTTTAAATGTCAGGATAAGTTGGGACTGGGAGAATGATGAAGGATGTGAACAATAAAAGCAGCTTAGTTTCATTCAGCATTTTATTCCCGACTTAAACAGCAAGGAATATTTGGTGGCAGGTATGAGTGGTAAAAGGCATAATAAATAATAAGCAAACACAGGGCTGTAAATACTGTGTTCTCGTTTTACCTGTGTTTTGTCATTGAGATTTGAAGCAAAAAGCTGCTGTTAGGGGTGATTGCAAATCTTGCAAATGCTTGTGGATTTTGAAACCTCAAATAGTAGATATCGATTATCTCGGGAAGGAGGGGAAAGGTCAGTTGTTTAGCAGGGTGTGTGTGTGTGTCTCAGATGTTTTTTATTTTAAAATCCAATTAACAGATTCAATGATAAGCTTTAAAAAAAAAAAAAGGAAAAAATGAAGCAGTACACTTTAGTAGTATTTATTAGGGTGTGGTAGTCGGTGTTTAGCAGTGTAGCAGGACTAATTGCTAGACTACACGGTGTGTAGGAGAATAACCACAGTTTCACCTGTCCTACCCTGGGCCCATGCTCCTGGGGTACCATGCAGAAAGATGTCTTGCCAGGGTTTGTGCCTAACTGCTGTAGTTAAGACATATTTTTACAAAAGACCTTTGTGCAGCAAGGCCAGTGGCTGCCAAGCTTCCAGCTTTTTACGGAGTCTGTATGGACCGTGTTAAGTTTTGTCTTTAAGAATTGATTCACCAGTTGCCTGATCACTGGAAGCCTCATTTCAGATTAAACTGAGGTGCCTGTGACTTCTCCTGGGATCTCAGAGTAAATAGCCAAATTCTGTCACAGAATTTCTATACACTCGTGTAAGCATAAATTATTTATTTAGGCTAGTAATAGGCTGCAAATGTGTTGCTTTTTGTTCCCAAAAGTAGATTTGACTTTCCCTCATGCAAGGCATCACTTTCATCTTTCAGAGATGAAAATAGATTATCATCTTTGCATCAAATATTTCTTGTGTATGAGAAATTTAGCCTATCCAGCAGTGTTATTTTTTTTAACTGTTAAATATTTAATTATTTAAATGCATAAACTTACACAAATGAATTATTTCAATATATATGTTAAACTGCTAAAAAACATCCCAACTCTGCTTTGGTTAGCTCTTCCATATATTAAAAGAATTTCATTTACCTGTTGTGCATGAAACTGTCCCAGTTACTGCCCAGTAATGACTTTACAACTATTGTAAATATGCTTTGAAATAGATGATTATTAAAAAACTTGCAGAAACTTGAAGGTAACTACGTCATTATCTTGAAGCTGCATAAGTTTGTCAGTTCATTTCTGGTATGCTGTTGGCTGGGATTTTTCCCCTTTCTATGCTATCAGTCTCTCCAAGTATATTTTAATCCTCTTTGTTAGAATCATCTTGAGCAAATATTAAAAGGGAGGGAATAGAACATTCTAAGATAATGTAGAACAGATGCAACTAGTACAGGTCAATGCAATGTTACGGCACAGCAGGCGATGTCACTTGCTTTAAACATAACATTCCATGGGTTATCAACCGAGTATTTTCCCTTTGAAATAAGAATTAAGCTTATGCTGTGCAGTGATGTCCGTGAGCTGCCACAGATGAAGCAGCTGAAAGGTACAGCAGCTGCTTTGATGCATTCAGTCAGTATGGAGGCAAGGTGTCTGATAAATAGCAACTTAAACACTAACTACTCATCAATGAGCACTTCAGTCAGTCAGAACTTAACCAGAGGGGACTGTTTAGCTGATCATACGGAGAAAAACATTCTTTGCTTTTCAGCACTTTTCTCTAATTACTTACAGTTGATTCCATCCTTCTTTGACTTCTAAAGTGTAAGCAATTTTTTTCTTTTTTTTTTCCCTTGGTGGCAAGAGAAAAATACTTGTCTAATACTTGTGCACTGAAATGTAAATCTTCTGAAATGGAAATGTAATGTTTTTCTTTTACAAAAACGCTGTTGAGTAACCACCTGTCCTCAGACACAGAGGAAGTCCTTAACAATTGTTAGCATTTTCACATGGTGTGTTATGCAGGTGCTTTAGCTGTGGGGTTTCTGTTTGTTTTTCAGTCTCGAAGGAATCTTTGTGAAGAAGCCTTGTTGAAAATTAAAGGTGTTATTAGTTTTACCTTTCAAATGGCTGTTCAGAGGTGTGTGGTCCGAATTCGCTCAGACTTAAAAGCAGAGGTAAGTGCTCAATGACCCTCCAGATCCTCACCCTACTGCATTCTGTCACACTAAGCTCTTGGGGTTTTTTTCTGTGTACTTGTAGGCATTGGCAACGGCGATAGCATCAACCAAAGTGATGAAGGCACAGCAAGTTGTGAAAAGTGAAAGTGGTGAGGAGGTAGGATATGTGCCTTTCTAAATACCCATTGTTTTAGCTCGGCTGTTTCTTTAATACCAGCACCTCTGTGCCTGTAACATCTGATGCCAGGCAAAATTTTGTAAGTGGGAGTGTGGCACAAACAGCACAAGGAGAATAAAGGGTATCCTAAGTCAGGACATGTATCCATAGATTTACAGAACTTACTATTCAGAAGAAGGACAAAAATACTGCAGTTGTTTCTCTCCTTAACGATATGAAAAGGCTCACAGTGAACCTGCGTTGGTTTGGGTTTTTTTGGCTGCAGTTGCTGAAATGTTTTTATTGCAAAACTACAGTAAAAGGGCTGTGTCTGTCTTTGGTACTTTTTCTTCCGTGTTAAGCCAAAGCTTTTTTGTGTATCTCCTAAGCATAGTAGATTCCAGATAGATAGTAGGTTCCACTAGGTTGCCCAGGGAAGTTGTGGATGCCCCATCCCTGGAAGTGTTCAAGGCCAGGCTGGATGAAGCTTTGAGCAACCTGGTCTAGTGGAAGGTGTCCCTGCCCATGGCAGGGGGGTTGGAACTGGATGATCTTTAAGATCCCTTCCAACCCAAACCATTCTGTGATTCTACGGTATGATTTGTGTTCTTGCTGTATAGGGGGAGGGGGAGGAGCCTCACCACAGGCATGCCTGTCGCCCCGAGTGTGTGTGTGTGTGTGTGTAACTTTCATTTTTTTAAGTTACAACATTTGACATAATTTTTATCTGTTGTGTTTTATCAGATGCTGGTTCCGTTCCAAGATACTCCTGTGGAAGTAGAGCAGAACACAGATCTACCTGAATATTTACCAGAAGATGAAAGCCCTACTAAGGAACAGGACAAAGCTGTGTCTCGTGTTGGGTCGCACCCAGAAGGCGGAGCGAGCTGGCTCAGCACGGCAGCAAACTTTCTATCGAGATCTTTCTACTGGTGACTTGTGTTTGGTGTTAAAAGACTGTGTGAATGAACCAACAGGGGGGCCAGTTTTCCGTTGGTGTGGTGAACTGCCAAGTGCAATTTGCAATAAATCATCACAAAAAATTTTAGATTAAGCAACTGTATGCTGCATTTTACATTTTATTGGACGCTGAGCCTGATAGGACAGGGGTCAAAGGACAGAGGCCTCCAATCAAATTGTTCGTTCATTTGGTTTTTTTCATGTAGATTTTATTGCTTCACTTTTTAAAAAAGGGTCCACTGTTACACCAAACGTTTATGCATATAGAGCTTTAAGTTTGACTTCACATGAAACACGTGATTGGGAGAATCCATTTAACTCGAGTCTCAGGGCCTCTGTGAAAGAAAATTTAGCTCTACTTGTGCATTGAATAAAACTCCCTTTATATTTCTGCATCCCTTTGGCCTAATGTTATTTTGCTTAATTTTTATTGACTTTGACTCCAGAAAAAAAAATATAGTCTGCCTCTTTTTTTTTTTTTTGCCTTTATTTTTGCCAGCCATGTTCACAGCATGAGCACGACGTTCCCCACTTGCTATTAAACTAGAATCACTACAGACTTGAAATTTATAACCCTTTTATGTATTTTTTTTTTCCAGCCTGCCCTTAACCATTGGAGTGCTCGAGGTTAAGAAATAAGGGATTGAATAAACACGGATATGTATACATACATTGTACAGTAAATAAACTAGAACATATTTGTAATGAAGGGTGTGACTGACTGATGTATATAACTAATACATACCACTGACTGCTCTTTAGGCTGGCTGGGAGGACTGTAGCAAGAAATAAAGCAAGCTGTGGTCTAAGGTTGCGATGACCCATTGCAGCTCTGTCTGAGAGCAGAGAATAGAGGGATGTAGACTGTATGTGGTTAGGAAGTGGGTGTTCACTGTTAGCAGATATTTAACGGTAACTGAAACTTTAAACTTGAAGAATAAAGCAGAACTGAATGCCTCTTTTGCCACAGTGCCACTCTCATAAATTTTGACTGTAACCCTTTTTATTTTTTTACCTATTAAATCTGATGTGTAATTACTGTTCCCTCCTAATGTCTTTCATGAGACTCTCATGAAAGTACATCAGCTTCTGTCGGCTTAAAAACATATGCAAACAATTGGCTCTGCCTTCTTATTTACAGACAGTATAGGTTTAAAGATGTCTTAGTAATTTCTGTGACCAGGAGTGATAATAAAAGCAAAACTCCTGTAGGTAGACAATAATATATGTCTGAGCTGTTAGAAAACACTGTGTGCCTGAGAGTATGCAGTACACAGTGCTTGAAAACTGCAGTGCCACTGCTTTGTTGCACCAGAGAAATACAGCTGAGAACATCAAGTAATGTTATAAACCTCATTATACAATGCTTTTTTTGTGGTAATATATTTGCTGTAATATTAATTACATTTACCACTTGAAGACTTAGAAAAAAATCTTTGATGCATTGTTATTAGAAAAAAATCTTTGATGCATTAAGTTATTCCCTCTGCCTGTGTGCAAGGAGTAAAAAAATAAAAATGAATTCACAGACTGTCATAATACTACAGAAATTATAATGTATAATAATAATGCAGGTCAGAGTTCACCCACCCAAGTTAATTGTCATTCTAGGATAAAAAAGAAAAAAAAGCTTGTTGGCAGACTAGATGTCTCATGTTTTTTTAATATGTTTAGTTTATTTTTGATTCAAGTTTACACGCACAGATTGAAAATACAGGCTTTTCAGGGCATGTATTGCTTTAAATATGTAATATTACTCATATTGCTGTCTAGAATGTTACAGTACCAAATGTGTTTGAAAAGTCCTCTGTTCTATAGCCACGAATGCAGAGTTTTCCTTTTCTGCGTTAACATCCGTTTGCATTACTGCACATCTAAAAGACGCCACCCTTTGGATATTAATGGTTCGGTACCAGTAGGTATTACAGTTTGTTTGTGCATTCGGTCTGTAGGTGTGCTTTTATGACAGTATTGCAGCTCTTGTAGAACAGTTTGAGGCATCTGTAAAAGTTTTTGAAATATATTGTAAAATAATAAAGGATAATATAACTAAACAAAGTATGACTGGTGCCTTCTTAAATGTCTGAACAAAGGCTGGTGCCTTTTTAAATGTCCTGATGTTCTTTTAAGCTACTTGTGGTGTTAGAAGCCCATCTGAGTGTTACAGAGAGGAATGCAAATGTCCAGTCCTAGTGAGACCTTGGCTGCATATCACAGTGGGGCTTTTGTCTCTGTTAGAACATGCTGGCATTTTGGTGTTTTTTTTTTTTTTTTTTTTTAAAGTAGGTAAGTAGAAGCTATTTGAGGACATCATGTCAAATTTATTCTTAGGGGTGTTTTTTGAACGTTAGCTCTTTTTGTTTTTTTAGCAACTGATACGGTGTAGGTAATGTTTTATTAGAGGAATTCAGAAGAATCAACATTTTTCTCCAGAAACCTCTACTTTGGAAAAAGCAAAAATGATAAAAAGACACAGCACGCCGCCATTGATGTGACACTTGTACTTTTTCAGAGGTCTGGTTGAGGACAAGAAAGCCCTTTGACTCTGACCTAAGGAGATGACCAAAAAAATTGACTGCAAAATGAGAGCCTTCTGAAAGGAACCTGGATCGGGAGCCAGAATGCTGGTATCGTAATTGCAGAGTACTCGAAGCCGCCGCACGCGTCGCAGTTTAAGCTCCCAAATTGCCCTGGGGCTATAGCCGTGTGCAGCATAATAGGCTAATCACTACCGTGTTTCTTCATAATAAGAGTAAATGCTGATGGGGTGGGTAGAGGCAAAACTGAGGCTCGTAACCGTGCCTCTGTGAACAGCTGTCAGAGCACTGCAAGCGTTCTGCAGTCTCGTGAAATACAATATACTCGTTTTTCCCACTTCGCCATCACCTATGGCTTATTCCGTACAAAAATAGCTGCTGTGGCTGAGTTTTGCTACAGGCCCTGTAAGCTGCAGGGGAGGGGGCACTGTGTGGGGCTCACTTGGTAGAAAACATTCAGTACCTAGGCAGATGCAAACTGGCAGGTGTGAAGTACCACTGTAACTGCCTGCAATGTAAAATAAAACGCGGGTGCTCCTCCTTTTTTGCCTGTGAACAACGCTCCAGCTGTCAACTGGCAGAGTTTAAAACCATACCTAATAAAAATTTCTTGCTGTATTCATTTTGCAGAAGGCTGGACCATATAGTCTTCCCTTTTTCTTCGTCTGTACCTATTCTGAGTTCCTAAAATGTCAAAAAAAACCTCCAAACCCTATTTGTTAAAGATTGAAAATAAGTGAAGACAGAGATGAGAATAACCTCTCAACCCACCTCAGATTCTCATGCTTCAGGAAAAGTTGAGAGCACGTTATCTGGCAAAAGGGGGTGAGCGGTGGGGTCAGTGGAGACATTCAGTGAGGTACAGCATCTAGCCTCAGGGGTGAGACTGGCTGTTAAGATTCCTGCTCTAAAGCTTAATCGAAAGCTGTTACAAAAAGAAGTTGTGGTTTACACAGAACAGGCAAAGCTCTACTACTTCAGCCTGCTTAAAATTTGCCGTACTTTGCATGTATCTTGGTTAAAAAGGTGGAGGGCAAGGTCTACTTCCAGGCCGATGCATGTCCACCTCAGAATTTAAGTTATTTTAATGTTTCCGTGTTGCACTAGGTTCGTTAGTGACTGGGAGAGTTAGAGCTTCCCCTGTGGAACAGGTGAAGAGCCATTAAAGCGGTTGAAATTGTCTGGAGATACAAAAACATCTCAGAGGAGATGCACCCTCTTACCAGATTTTTGTGCCCGTTGTCTTGGCACGAAGGCTGCCCAGAACTCGGTAGTGAATTAATTTCCAGCAGCACCCCCGTGTTTGATACTTGCCCAGTGCCTACAGGTCAGCCGGCGGTGCTCGTGCTGAGCTGACCAGCAGTTCCGAGGAGCTCAATAACGTCATGACAAGAACTAAACTTCCTATGGGACAAGCACTCCTATGCCAGTGGGGTGTGGCAAAATGTCCGATTGGCATGGAAAGGGTCTTCTAAGGAGTGGATATAAAGGGAATGCCACAAAGCCACCATACCACAGGGTTGTTGCTTTCGTTTCAATCGGACCACGAGTTAAGGGTAAATACTGGGAATAAGGGAGTGGTGCTGGCTTGAAGCCTTGCTGCCTCATATCTCTTCTCGTTGGTCCTTCAGGGACACAGGCGTGCTAACCCGCCGGCGCAGGGAATTGCCATGTCAACTTTCCACGGGAACTGCCCCTCTGGATATTTGCTTGGGAAAGAGGAGAGCAAGCTGCCACGTGAGCGCATGGTGAGCTAGCTGAGAGCAGTCGCCTTCTGTTCACAACTGGCGTCCCACAGAAACGGGAACATTCTTAGCACGAGGTCTTTACCAAGGCGTTTTCTACTCGCCCCGTTTCAGCCTGCACAACTGGTTTGTTTACCCCAGTGCAAAGTTTGTTGTGAACCACCTCTGGTTCTTGCTTCTTGCTCCATTGCGAAAATAAACTGAACTGCATTCCATTCTAAGAGAGGCCTTTGCACTGTCTGAACTCCTCCTTTTCCTGGGCGGAAAAGCCAAACCTGTCACAAGCAACTTTCCTTACTGAGTTTTACATAGGATTGCAGCATGAGCCAGGTGTGGTTGAAGCCAATTTTCTTCTCAAAACAGTCCTTACTGATTCATTGAAGTTCCAGGTAAGGAAGATCTGGTGACAAATACCCTTGCTAGTTGTGTAGTGGTTTAACCTCGGCTGGCAGTAAAGTACCATGCAGCCACTCTCACCTCCCCCCCTCCCCCAGTGCAGGAGGGGAGTCGGAGGGTAAAGTACCATGCAGCCACTCTCACCTCCCCCCCTCCCCCAGTGCAGGAGGAGAGTCGGAGGAAAAGACAAGGGGGCTTGTAAAGTTGAGATAAGAACTATTTAATAATTGAATATAAATGAAAATTATAGTGATACTACTAATATTAACAATACTACTACTACTAAGTAACTAAAATAATAGAAAATAGAACATATGATACAGTAGCTCACCACCTGCTGACTGACACACAGCTGGGTCCCCAGAAGCCAGAATCGGAGCCTGAGGACCCCCAAAGCCAGAGCCCCAGAGCAAGAAACCAGCAAAAAAACAGTGGACCCCCCAACCCACTAATGAACTAACCTGCCCCACTGCTAACAACCGCTCCAAGAGCTGAGCTAAGAAGCCAGCAAAAGCCTTAATGACTTCCCCCCCCAGGCCACTTCTGGCCCAAATACTGGCCATGTGACCTGAGCTGGACGTACCATGGGATGAAACACTCCCATAGCCGTCTGAACTATGAAGAAAAGGAGCTCTTTCCTGCCTGAAACCATCACAAGTTGGTTTCCCAAAAAGTATTTATCTATCTTTGCATATGCAATGGTATATTTCAAATGCTTTGCTGATTCATTGTGGCAGTGCGTTACATGATCAAGGAATTTGCTGTCTTCACATATGTTAAAGCATCACCCCGACAGTGGTGTTTATGCCCTTTCTAACAATTAATATCATTAGTGGGTTTTGATCCCTGAACACTTCTCTAAGACAGTTTTACTCCCTTATAGACTCCCCATACATACACCATCATATAGCCGATACGGATGTGACTATTTAGTTACTTTTCAAGAGCATCACAGGCTGAAAATGATAGCACATGTCCTTCATCATGTGACCTTTTGGCCATGCCTCCTCTGCTGGGGAAGGATCCAGGGTGCGTTGGTTTGTATTA